TTAGTGCCCCTACATTACCTTTCGCCTCCCTGCTTGTCAAGCTTGCTTGCATTGGTGTTCTGGGGCTTCCAATGGGCCGCTCCGGTGCATGTGGTCATCGACATAGACGGCACGCACACACATACACTCTATCCTCGCTTATGTACGTAACACTGGCGACCTAAGCCCAACACCACCCGGCGATTAGCTATGCTGTCCGACATGTGCTTGCTATCAGAGTTCGTACGGGTTGGAGGCTTTCTGACAGAAGAGGTCTGGCTCTACAGGCCACAGCCTGACAGCTCGGACCTGTAAATTAGACCGATGTCACGCTGGCGATCTCAGGCCTAGGTCCAAGGTTTGAGGGCATCTTTGCCTATTCGCCAGATGTTGGTGGCTCACTGGTGTTTGGACTCAAATTCAGCCAACAGAACTCCACAACGCTCCCAACGATGTGTATTTGCCTCACTGGTACAGGCTTGACATACGTGTGGCAGAGGTCGCCCCCGCTGCGGCTCCGCCTGCACCCAGCCAATGTCGCTATCAAACAGCAGTGGTAGAGGATGGTGCCTAGATGATGCTGATCTACGGTGGGAGTTGGGTAAACAATATCTATGGAGGCTTGTCTGCATTCTTTACCGGCAAACTCACAAACTATCCTGCGCCACGCTGGGGGCACTCAGCCGTCTTGGTTGGGGAGAGCTCCCGCATGGTCTTCGCAGGGCGGGTCCAACGGGTGGGGTCCACGAACGAGCTGTGGGCCTACAACTTGGTGCAAGTTCATAGGCCCAGCTGAATCCCGCAACACGAGGAAACAATGGATTGCCAGAAGTCCGCTACGGGCAAATCGCCGTTTGGACGGGACGCATGATTGTCGCAAGTGGGCCGCGGCAAGTCCCAGTGCCTGTGACCCCGTGTTTCTTTCAGTGGCATGAGTTCCCAGATCTGAAAGGGATTTGGGTCGAGTTCGAGGAGCGCCCGGACCCGGACAACGATGTCTCAGGCAGCAGGGTACACGCCCCTTCTCGAGTGAGATAGCACTATGCAAGGTAAAGCCCTGGATGCATGGGCAGAAGAAATCCCATGCCTGCAGGAAAGCCCAGGTGCTCTTCTGAGGTTTAAGATTGGCCGTGTGTTTCTCGGCTGGTTGCAGAAGAATTGAATTTGAGCAAGTCACCCTCAGCAAAGCATTGGGGAATTGGGTTCGAGAATCTGCTTCCGGAAGGTGGCTGCCGGAACTGAAGAATCGTCTGCTCGTACCCAAGGAGCAAAGACGACCAAGAGCCGTCTGCAAGCTCGTAGCCGCAGAGGCTGAGCATAGTACACTGTCCAGGTAAAACGGTAAAATCTTTGTAGTGGAATGAATGTGAACGACTGTCGCGACGCCTACGAGGCTGTCTCTGGCTCGAAAAGGGGTCGGGCATGGGGCGCCTGGCATGGCATGTGATTCGAGCATCTCGGATGCACCGCTCCGCATGCCTCGGAAAGTCTTTGGTGCCTGCTTGCAAGCCCAGGCTCCGAACGAGAGCTTCCGCCCCAGAGCAAGAGTCGCCGACAAGATCTTGCGCTTCTTTTTCCAGCGTCACTGCATGTCCACGGCGGAGGACGTGCACGTGGTGTCTTGAAATTGAATCTTGCCATCATTGGCCAGCCCAGGTCCAGCGAGCACTCCAAGCCACGGAAGGCCAAGGCAGGGCACGGAATATGTGAACAAGTGGTAGGTATCTCTAGATCTTCTGGTGTACATGTTGTCATCTGTCATGCATGAGACGCGCTCCCTTGTGCCTATGCTTATGAATTCGCTTTGGAGGTCGGCCTGCCCTCGAAGACGAACATGCTAAAAATGCTCTCGTGGAACGTTTGGAATTCCACGACGTGTGCATTTATTTTTCTTTGTGTGCGGCTACGAATAGTAGAGCTCTTGCTCTTGAGCCATTTGCACCGTTCTTGGCCCCTAAGCCTGGAAGCCGCATGGCCACACACGCCCAAGGGCGCAAGTCTTCAAGATGTAGGCTTGAAGCTAGTCGCACTGGAACTGGCCGTTGGCTGCCTAGCTTTGCCGAGTGAGATTCGAAGACGGAACGGCGAAGATCTTACAGGGTGTCTACCTCTGTCTCTTTCTCTTGTCTCTCTGCGACTGTCTTCCTCTCATCTCTGTCTCGATGGGTTGAAGTTCTGGGCAGGCCAGCGACAGCACGGAGGACGCGGTTGAGCTACATGTTGCTTGCGAAGCGCATACGCACGAGCACTGAACATCATGCAGCTCTACGTTTCGCTAAATGAGCTGATCATCGTGCATGTTCCGTCGCATTCGGCTAGATGCACTGTGTCCTTCTCCACCATGGCAGATCTTCCTGAAGAGTGTCATGTTGCGCCGTTAATAGATTATAGATGTTCTTGGGTCTTGCCGATCCTGACATCTACTGTAGCAAGGGCAAGGCTCCGAAAACCTGCAAAGAGCTGGCAGGACAAGTCTGCCTCTCCCAGCAAGGGCAAGGTGAAGAGGAAGAAGACTGACAGCCCAAGCCCAAGATGCAAGATCCGGGAATCCGGCCAGCAAAAGTGGGCATGTTTCTCTCATCTTTGCTTTTGATGAGGCTCGGAGGAGTCGGCGTCTCAGGGAACTCCGATGTTGCTCGTAGAAGCCTATAGCAAGCCATTTTTGTTCAAGGCCATGGTCATGACGAGCCACTGACTTGACAGATGTTGTCCAATCTTTCCTAAAGCCTTGACCTGTAAGTCACTTTGCTCGGCCAGTGCTTGGGGTGCTTTCGGGCCCGTGGAAGGAGATCAGCTCAGATTGCTGAGGAAGAGTCCCGCTCCCGAGTCCACGGACGAAGAGGTGGAGGAGAGCCCGAGTGTGCGTTGATGCAGACGGTGACACAAATTGCGCTGTCGTTGGGTTTCCGCAGAGAGCTGTGTGCATTGTCTGTGGCTCGGGCATAGCCCGGCTCTTGCCGAATTCGACGCCTTTCCGATTGATACCGGCATACATCCGCTCACGATCTACAGGCCTGTTTCTGCATGTGCAGCCTGCATGGTGTTAACAAGCGACTTGGGGTTAGCATTAACATTCAGTCGTGGAACGCTCAGGAGGACAAGGCGACCAAAGACAAGGCGGTCAGCATGAGTTTGTGTCGATAGTCTGAAGCCTAGTTTGACATGACAGGCAAATGAAAGCTCTAACGAGAGCAACAGTGGAAATGAGGCGGCGCGGATAGCACCCTTGAGCGCGGACCAGTGAGAAGTGGTCTCCTAAGCTTTTGCAGAGGAGGCCCAGGATGAGGACGAGGATGACGGCGAAGAGTGCAAGCAAGCGCAGGACCGAGCTTCCGTGGCAAGTTTCTGCTTTATGATCCTAACCAGGAAGATGATCACATCACCACCACCTTCATCATCCTCTTGCGGTGACGACGATGATGATGATGATCATGGTGCGGATGCTGATCATGTTTCGACTGGAGATGGTACTTCAACTCATTGTGACGACGACGATCATGGCGACCATGATGCTGGTGGTTGGTTGTGACGATGATGCCAAGCCTGAGGATTCTTTTTGCGGTGTTTTTCCCGAGCCTTGCTACACATCACAAAAACCTGGGAGGAGGCCGCAGCGACAGCTGCAGAGCAGGCTCGGAGCAGTGACTCAGGGGCTTCATAACTTCCTACTACAATCTACACTACCTTAAACTACCAAAATCTTTTTTTGGTAGGTTCTGATTATACACCCTAATCTGCAATGTATAGGGACCCCAAAAAAAGGAGGTTTTGGTTGGTTAAGGTACACACAATTTACTCTCATATATACTTCATTGCAAATTTTTCAAGGCTTCCGCGCCTGCGGCGAAGACTCTCGGGCCGAGCGCGTCCATGCGCCCCAAGACTTAGGTCACCGTTCATGAGACCTGGACAGCTGAACAACGGGCTGGTCTAGACTATTGGAATTACTACTGTATCTCTAGCCTATCAAAAACGGTTATAAACTGTTACTAACTCTTCCAAATAATCATATAAACTATCGTAAGCTGTAAAATCAACAATTACGCACTCTAAGTTGCCATGAAGTACTTTATACACTACGGCCTTAAACCCTTCTAAACCCTCTTAGAGTTCGCCTCTGCTCTTGCCCTCTGCTGCTGGCTTTTGCCAGGCCCAGACCGCGAGGTCAAAGCTGGAGGAAGCCAAGGCGTCATGAGGGTAGTCTTCTAAATTAGGGTCCCTAAAGGGACCCATCAAGGGTTTCTATAGGCTATAGGGTTTCTATAAGGCTACTATAAGGGTTCTGATTGGGGTAGTCTTCTAAATTAGGGTCCCTTTTAGGGTACCTTCTTTATCAGGGCTATGGTACTGTACTGGGGGTCTACAGGGGTGAGCCGAATTTAGAGAGAGACCTACCCATGAGAATAGGGGTTCGGGGTGAGTCTGGGTTCAAAAAAAAAGGGTTCTCGTTATCCTAGGGAGTGGAGTGCTAGTGTGCCAACGTTTTCGGGCCTCGGCTGAAGCACGGCAGAGAAGGCAGTGCTGGCAGTCATCAAGTCCGGTTTCAAAAGGGTTCTCGTTAGGGGATTCAACTCAGAAGTTGCCATAATCAAGAAGCCATATTATTTGCGATAGATCCCCATGATGGTAACTTAAACAAAAGCCCGAAACAAGAGCCCAGAGGAGAAGCCCCCGCAGTCGCCAGAGGGCTAGGATGAGAGTCGACAGGGCTTAGGGGTTCGGGGTGTTGGGGTTTAAGGACTGGGGTTTAGGGTTTATGTGGGTACACAGGGCTTAGGGGTTCGGGGTTTAGGCTTTATGAGTTTGATGCTCCGGGCAAAGAAGCAAGCCAGCTGCAGAGCATGCCGCAGCCATATTTCTTGGTTGTTTGTGGATGGTGTGCGCCCTTGCCGGGTTCAAGTAATGCTGCACAAAAACATACGATGCACCAGGCGACGGTAACTGCTGGAACAGAGGCATGGACGCAACATTCGTGAAGCTCACCACCGCTAAGAAGAAGCACAGCTGCTCTTGCCACAGCTATGGGAACGACCTGCTGCTGCACAGATCGGCAGCCAGCAGGGGCGGAGGAAGTTTGCAATGATCAGCAGCAGGCACATTGGCTCCTTAGAGAGACCTCTCATGATGCGGTGAGGGTGAGGTCCTAAGTCTGCTGTGCCAGGTTCACTTGCGGTCAGTATGGATGCAGAAGGCCCTCTGGATTCAACATGGTGTTGTCTAGCCTGGAGGTGTTTGGGATTGTGTTGCGTTTTTTCCAGGAAGGAGTCTCGCGTCGAAGTGTGCTGCGGGCGCAGTCGTGTGTCCCTTTTGCAAAGCCTTGAAGCCAAGGGCTGGCAAGTGCTGGAATCAGAAGGCATGAGTGCGGAGCCACCGAGCTTTGTGGACCAGGCATGGCATCCTTGGTTTTTTGCTCGCGCAGCTTGCATCTCGATCCTGTCAGGCTATGCCGGTAAAACCTGCCAGCCTGCTGGAGCAGCGTTGCTGCAAGACACGGGGATTTGCGCAAAGGTGAAGTTAGAGGTGACTGAGGGAGATACCTCACCTCGTGCTAGAGCCTGTGCTTTGCAGGGTGTGTTCCGTTGCGCACAATCAAGGTTTTGTTAAGTTGCATCTTGTCGAGGCAGCTGGACGGACGATGGTTTCGGAAGGAAGACGGCAAGCCGCTTTGCGCCCTGGATTTGCACAGACCCCGTGTAATCTAAACATCAGAAGCGTAACAACAACTATCAATGTGTCTCTGGATGCAACGGCGGGGTCGCTCCAACAATGACACCACGACATACCATTTCATAGTAGAGCATACTGTAGTATCCTATGATGTCCTAGAATACACGTGAACATCCTATGTGCTTGAATCCTATAGTATATTGTAACATATGATCCTACACTTAATTTTAAAAGCTTCGCGTCGTCCGCCT